ATCCTCCAGCTTACATATTCACAGTTCTCTGCCCCAGGCAGTATTGTGCTTTTATTTACTGTGCTTTCAGGTAGGGTCCAAGTCAGATATCTCMACTGCATGTGTTTTGAACAGATACGGCACCTTTCCTAGGCAAAGGATGSGGTGAGGAAGAAAGGCTGTAAAATAAGCTACACTGGAAAATGATTTGGCCAGCAATTCACTAACAAGAGATGACATATACCAAAATTCAGGACCCTSCTTTCGCTTGTTATGCTGTCAAAGGAAAATTTGCACCTGCACAGCAGTTCAGATGGGGCCATTAGCATTTTTTTTTCCCCCAGTCACCAGCTTTCCAAAGGGAACATGACTTTTGAGAGAGTCCAGGTTGATACAGTCCTTATTTATGATCACGACATGCCTCCTGGGATTGCTAACAAATGAGTCCCATGTGTCTTCTGGAAAATCTGTCAGGACAATAAGTATATTACACAGAAGGCACACACAGTCATTATACAATAATTATTTCCTAGGCTAGATTCAGATCACATGCAAAACTATAATCTAAATAATGAAATATTAAAGCCTGATCATTTATTCATCAGCAAAACCCAGAATAATCCGTGAGATACCAATACATATTAATAACCACCTTCTACCCTGAATGCTCAGTGCTTATGTACGCGCACACATACAGCTTTACAGGRGAGCTCAAAATCAGAACCTGCCGAGTAAGGAGAGATCAAACCTACAGGAGCAAGTTGCCAAGTGTCAAGACGACAGGATTGTTTGTTCTGTGGTGAGGCAGACCTGCTGCCTCGGTTCTCTGCTTTGTCTGTGGACAGTGGAGGCAAAGCAGGTCCCAGGCAGCCGCCGGAGCCTCCTCGGAGGTGGGAGAGGATCCTGGTGTTCCCGGCTCCTGCTGCCCTCCCAGCACTGCTCTCAGGCCTCTGCTCAGCTCTCACCCTTCAATTCCAACTTGTCAATGTATCAGAATACTCCTTCACAAAAAATTCCTAGTTTTCTTCCTGCTTCCAAAATTCCTAGGTTTCCAGGAATTTCTAGGAATGATAACTTTTAGGCAACACTGATGATTTTATGGTAAGCCTCAGGCTCGTAGGCACTAATCCATTAATGTCTAGATAAGTGGAATAAAGGATAAATAAGCATATAAATTAAAGATGTTATACTGATAAAGCCAGATGAATCCCTGGAAAATTGTGCTGGATTTTGAGTTGTGCAGTGGACTAATAAAACAGCACTTAAACGTAATGAATATCAAAAAACTTTTCAGATGCAAGTAAACTCAAACTGTATGATTTTTAATGCCAAGCTGTCCAAAACACGTTTTCAAAATACAGGGCACATTTCCTAACTATTTACTATTTTTGATAGTATTGGGGGGGGACGGGGGCAGCCATTCATAAACTATCGTTCCTCCCCCCCGTCATAGATAACTGTTTATATCTTTGCATCCAACTACTTGAAATGCTAGTACAATTATTGTAATTGCCTTCTACTTTTGACTGTATTGAGCGATTGTTTGTCTCATGCATATTAGTTTTAAGACTTCATTAGCAGGACTTTCAAGTTTCCAAAGTGACATAAAAATTTATCAAAAGGAACAAGACAATGGTGGAAAACATTCATGGACTTGCAACAAGGAAAGCTGGTTGCAGGAAAGCTAGTCTTCTTTCTATGTGTAAAAATCTAACAAGAAGTTTCAAAGCTGAAATGTGAACAGAAGACCAGACCAGCTGTTTTGCTCCACAAAGTTGTACAGTTGATTTTGCATCTACTTTATAATTCTAACATCTTCTAACATCTGTATCCTCTTCTTACTGTTACGTAGGAGTTCAGTTTTTCTGAATTTCTCCTCTGTTTCTAGACTCATAGTTTAGTCATTAGCAATGATTATTGGCATTATTTATCCACATTGTACTTTTTCCTCATTACTACCTGCCGAAATAGAACATTTAAATGTAAATAAACTGTAATATTTTTGGACAAGAATAAAACACACAAGCCAGACGTTGGATCAGACATACAGACATGCTTTATTTTTGATTTCCAAAAATATTGTACATAAGACAGTGTCAATTTCATCTTCCAGGTTAAAAAAAATAATTAAAAAAAAAAGAAGCATACACACCACTATTAGATCTTGTCAATATATATCCAACATCTCAGTGAAAATTAGTTCAGGTAACACATTGTCTTTTCTTCCTTCCATTATTTTCCATTGGGATACTGCATGAACCAGCATATATACAACCAATATTTTGTTTTCCAGTATGGAAAACACTTAACTGCTTCTTACAAAGGCAACGTTAGCTCTGTTGCAAATTAGGTTTTTGTTCATTTAGAGAAACTTCCTTATTATTTCAGTGACRCTGAATATACCTGCATATTCCGGTCTTCCCTGAACTGTGTCTCCAGGTTGCCCAAAGACTCTAATATCTGCTTTCTTTCCCCCCACTCCCAGAGCTGCTCCATGCTATTCAGTGAAGGTGTTCATGGATCTCAAGCTGAAGGTTCAGCACTAATAAACAGTAATCATTAGAAGAAACAGAACTACACACTCAGCAAGCAACATAACTGATTTCAGATTGCTAGATGCACATCAGTCTTCTATGCAGGTGTTGTAAGAACTGCATAGAGAAATGTATCAGAAAAAAAAATAAGGCACATTTTAGAGACTGCATTTGGGGCAGGTTGGTCAATGGAGAAAGTTAATTCACTATCTGAGGAAAAAAGGTGCAGTAAAATTTACAAAAAAATGAACACAAGCTGGTAACAKTAGCAAAAAGCATCTTCAAAATTAAGTATTCTGCAATTATAAGTTTTAAAATACTGATCAAGACAGTTAAATGAGAATAACATTAGAAATTCATACAAAATAGAYACTTGCACAATGCAACACTGCTTTCAGTATGTTTCCCAAAGAAAAGTACACATATGAAATACCATTTCTAGAAGAGCTGTACTTACAAAACATTTCCCTCATCGTTTTAAAATCTATTATTTAACCCATCTTCTTTGTAGTGTACATATTAGCATTACTCTATTATCTGGCACAGAGTATGTATTTAAAGCTATCATTCTGACATGTTAAAGGAAACCTGCACAAGCCAGGAAATCTCTGAGCTGCCTCAGAGACAGCAGACGCCCCTGGGACAGAGTCCACAGCTTTTGAGAGTGAGCTTTTGTGAGAGTACTCACAAAGTGTGAAATAACTTGCACATCTGCACATCCACGCATTATTCCCACCTTTGAACTCTCTCAGCACACAATTCCAGGAAGGAGAAGGGAATAGGGAGCTTGAATTAACAGAGAACTAGTCACACCTGACCAAGTGGATTGCCACCAATTCAGCTTCAGCATTCAAGTAGGCTTTGTTAATAGGCCCTCACAGAAAGAGGAAGAGGAAGGAAAACAGATTTAGTGCTCAGATCTCTGAAGGGGACTGCTTCACAGGTTCTAAATAAGCATCACGTACTGGATTTGTTGGCTCAAAGCTCAATTGCCTGAATAGCTCCACCAACAAAGTGCTGGTCTGCTCTGAAAAGTCATTTTTCTTCTGGTTACACCTAGGTAATGATGGAAAGGGGAGGGGGTGTTGCCGGTAGGAGGGAGGGATCAGAGGCAAGCAATTCATTATACTTTTAGTCAGGTTCCTCTTTCCAGGAAATATYCTTCAGTTCTTCCAGCAAGATGGACCTAGCCCTTGTTAAGGAGCTGTGGACACTGGCACGCGGAGCAGATATGTGGCACTGAAGGAGGGCAGCAGCTACGTTTCCATAGCTGTCCTACTAGGTTACGAAAAAGATTCAACAGCTCCAGAATGGAAATAATGGAGCCTTAGACTGAAATATATCAATAGTAACCACAGAAATCAGAAACAACAGTTTCTGTGTTGCAATAAGGGGCGCATCGGCAGAGTCTTCCCCCTGCCACCAAGCAGGCCTAGAGGTTCTTAGCAAGGTCACTGAGTAACCTTGAGCTGCATTCAAGCTATCTACCACTCTTTAAAGAGCGAAAATGAATCCCTACTGTGCTGSAGAAGCCCATCTTTCATTTTTAAATAGGATTTTTCACCTATTAGCATATCAAACAGTGTAGTTGTCAGAACAAGACAGAAGATTAGCTCATTTAAGTCTCAACTTCTTTCTCTCCAACTATTTTGTGCTTTTAAAGTGAACAAACCAAAGGCAAGCCTGCTCATCAGCGTCACAAGCAAGGCGGCAGGTCTATCCGGGCTACTGCTTAATTCACTCTCCAAATGTGGTTTAAATCACGGGGTTGAGCCTGAGCTCTGCCACCTCTCTCAAAGTCTTCAACACTTCCAACCACCAAAAATCTCCACCATTGAAAATCTGGATTTCGGTACTCCGTGCACAGCAGCAGAGGTAGTAAAGTACCCAGGATAATCTCCTGATCGAAGCGGGCAAGTCAGCAAGCCAGGTCACTCCATGTTAGAAACAGCAGGTCAGACCCACCTTTGAGCAAGCACCAGCAGCAAGTAAAAGTGGTTGCAGATATCACCAGTTCCACAGTAGTTGAAGGTACATCCTGCAGCAATATTTTGTACTTCTAATGCTTGACTTCACTTGTACTTTCGTACTTTTCACTTACAGATTATGAGGAAAAAATACAAAAAAAAAAAAAATCAAATCCAGTGTTAATGGGGGCATTGAAATAGCTCCTCAATTCATCATTTAATTCTTAAATAGATCTCCACTCAGACAGYCACCTTTTCCTAAATGAATCTGTCTTAACAAATCAGTTTATAACATTATAAATAAGCCTCCAAGATTGTTAAAGAACAAGCAGCAGGTCCTYACCTATTGCTTTCTTAGATGTTACCTTCTATTGAGCTAATGCTATTTCACTCATTTCATTCTTCCAATTATCACCAGAGCAAGAGAATTGTGGAATTGCACTGCAGCAGCTGTAGTAGAGAAAAAATAAAGGCAAACTGTGTATATTTCACCACCTCAACTATACTGCTAGGACTGCTAGAAATACTGCTTCTTCCTTGAAGTTCTTAAGAATGATATACATCATTACCTTTCACATATTCATAACTATAGTCAGTGAAGTGTTACCTCATAGCGATGTAGAGAAGCTCCTTAAYGAAGCTCTAGTTTGATTGCATTAGGCAATTCATTGGCTCATGGAAAAGCTGCTGCGTTATGGAGTGGTGTCAGCTCGGCAGTGCCTGTGACAGCTCATTAAGCTGTGTGGCACCTGCTACCCACACACAAGGAACACAAGTGACTCATCTCAGCTCTCAGGCTYAAGCAGCAGGGATTTCTGGAAAAAAACAAACAAAACCATAGAGGGATCTATACCGCATCAGGCATCAAAAGATTTTAGCAAACTTACAAGTGTGATTTGGTATTCTTTACATAGCCAAACAGACATCATTTTCCCCACTGGAAGGCAATTAGTGTCATTCATCACCAGTCCTCTCAGGTGAGCACAGTAATACATCTAGCACATAATTTGCTCAATTGCACAGTTATGTATGTGTAGGAAATTGAGAAATAAAGAGAGAGCAACTCCCATACAGGCAAGGAAATCCTCAAACATTTCAGATCYGTCACTGGCCAATCGTGGGAACTTGGCTGATAAAAAGTATCAGGCCTTTCACTAGCTGTACAAACACAGTTACTTTCCGGATTAAGTTCTGAAATAGAGATTTTTTTGCATCTTTAACCTTGAGCATACTTGCTTACCTGTTTGCACTTGTCAACGTATTGCCCTGCAACCAGCCTTGCACTCTCCAAGGAGAGAAGCTGGTGTTCACAGCTGCCCTGCGCGCTCTCCCCTACCCTGTCCTGCTGCAGGGAAACATCAGTCTCTACCCAGGCCCACAGAGAGCCAATCCTGAGACTACCTTAAGACACCTCAGCAGGATGGAGGTAAAACTGTCCTTTTTTTCCAAACCCTCTTTTTAAGCTTCCCGTCCTGTTAGACAAAACAGTAACAACTTCATTGTTCATATGAAGCAAGAACTTCCTACCTTCTCATCAGGTGTTTGTTTTCAATATTATATTGGGCCTTTAAGATCATCACAAATAACAAGACGAAAAGTGACTTTTCGGAAAAAAAATCATTGTATGAATGCAAATCAAAATTAGCATAATAAAATAGTATTTAATTTCAATGTTCCTTGCTAAGTGACACCTATATATTCTTTGAAAAAATCCTTAAGTCCTAGAAGAAGGCAAGTATTTTTCTTAAACCTATCATCTTTGTAGCTTAGAAATACAGGACATGCTTATTGGAAAGACCCAAATATAAAATTAAATTGTAACATGTAACAGATAATAAATATCTCACAATAGCTACTGAATTAAGGAAAGGTGAATGTTATAAGCTAACACACTCCAGAAAGTTCTATAATGCCATCTGGTTTTAGTAAATCTGACTGCCTGATATTTATATTTTYGGGTATTTTTTTTTTTTATTCTAYGTAGTCTAACTGATAAAGGGGAAGGAAGATATGAAATGTAGAGGCTTTTTCACTGGAAAATAAATTATTAAAGCAAAAGAAATATCATTTTCCATTGATTAGAACACCTCCCTTTAAACAAAGCTTCYCACAGAAAATTCATACAAAGTGGTTTTAAAGAGCCAAACGGAAGCTACTGATTTAATTGTGTCTACTTAACCCTCCCTACCACAAACTACACCATTTCCTCTACTCCTCTTTCACTTCTGCATTTCTTGGATCAAATTTAAGCATAGTAGAATTATATAACTGGAAGCTAGGAAGGGTTTTGTCAATAAGGAAGTTTTTGCAGAAGAAAGCGCATTTCATTTCCTCCAGTCACATTGCCAAGCATTTTGAACAGCAGCATGACAGACTCATGATCAGGTCTTACTTTTTGCCAAAAAGTAAAAAGGAATAGTCAAAATTTAACTGCTAAAGTGAAGCTGAGGCAGATTCCTAGGTAGAACAGCACACTCTCCATCAGAGTGACATTTATATCAGGAATTCCTACCGGGTGAACGGGAATATAGTCTATATGGGTAATTCTGTATTTACAGATGAAAGATGCTAATTTATCAAGATATTATATACACATGACAGGTAATAAAAGTCAACCTGCATTAAAACTGAACTGCTTACTCAGTTTTAGAGCGAGCAAAAACAGTCAGAGGAGTAACAAGAACATTTGATGCGTTGCTTAAACATCAGTTGTGTTGCCTCGAGTCATCAGGCTGGCTAGAAAACAGTTTTGGGTCCTGCCTTGAGTTAGGGAAATGAAAAAAATATTCATGGTATGAGAAGCAAAAGGTAAAAGGAGGAGAGGAAAAAAATGGGAATCCAAACTGTGTTACAATTCAAAGTATTTGGATAATAATTGTTGTTTTAGAAAGTCCCTTGCCTACCTTTCTGCAGACAACCAAGTAGAGAGGAGGTCTTTTACGGCCTCCAATTTTCAACTTACACATAGTGAAGTTCTGCTTAAAGGCTATGCAACTGTCAAAATGACTCCAAAAAGAAAAAGAAAAAAGAAAAAGGACTATAGGGAAAGAAAAAGAACAAGTGATTGCACTTGTTCATTTTCATTTAAGCTTATACATACATGATACATTTGAAGTCATACTATAAAAATTAACAGTTGTGAGGGTACAMGTAAGTTTGTCCACAGGCAGCCTAAAACACATTAAGACACACATACACAAAAACAGAAAGCAGAAGGAAAAAGAAGTGTTTCCAAGTACCCGCAGAGTAGTGCCTGTTAACAACTGAACGTTCTCTGTTTTAGATGAGGGTTCTTAAAATAATTTCATAAACACACAATGTTTCTTACCTCAATTACTTCATCAGTTCAGAATGAAATAACAGTGTGCTGTACGTATGTCCATGCATGGTGTGTACCATTCATGGTGCCAGTTCATTATTAGGGAATTTTAAGAAAAAATAGTAGGATTCAATGTGGCATCCTGGAATACTAGCAGTTACAAAACTGAAACTATACCCTTGAAGGTACAAGAAAAAATTTTTGGAAAAGCCTAGCAGGATTGGGTAGGGAGAGAAAGATTTAAGTCAGTAAAACATACACAAAAAAAACCCACACAATCAATTTCTTTTATAAATAGAAAATTTAATACCTTTCTTTCTCCAGAGTGAAACAAACTTGTATAGAATCACACATCYGGTTTGTATAGTGAAGTAAACTCCAGATTTTAGCCTCTAAGTAACATGAYTTCTTGTCCCATTTAATTGACACTGAGATAGGCTCTGGGTCCTACAAGTTATTTCAAAATACACCTTGACCTATGGACTGTTTATTTATCATGCTTAAATCGATACAGATTGTTTGCTACACAGTTACAAGAGCAACAGTTTACAGTTGTTAAGTTACAAAAATAGTTATCACTCATTAGTATTTCTATACATGTCTTGAGCTATTAAATGCATACTCTGTACAGTGGATGTCAACAGTGGTTGTTTATTTCCTTAAAGCAAAAAAAAAAAAAAAAAAAGAGAGAGAGAGAAGGAAAAAACTGATGGTCAGATCCAAAATATTTATGTACCATTATATGCTTGCACATCTGACACTAAACATCCCTATCCATACAAATCAAAAGCAGTTTGGGATTCCAAAAGACATATGCACCCAGGTTGCTAGATCCTTATGACAGCTGATGGAGCAGGACTGTGTGAGCAACAGGATGTGACTGCCACCTAATGGTCTTCTGGCACTGTATGGCCAAATTTACCTTAATTTTGGAATTTCACATTTTTTTTTCTAGATAAATGCATTAAGTTTCTGTGTTTGGGGTTTTTTGTGCACTAAAAGAGCGCACCACTATCTTAAASAGAGCTTCCATTTTAAAGTGCAATAGGTTAGCTACAGAATTGCTACCAAAATGCAAGTGAAAAGAACTATACCAGAAACAAATCCCTTTCAAACACTTGGCAAGACAACACCAGTATTTGATAGTACATTAAAGTTAAGGGAAAATTGCACTTAAAATATCACCTCAGAAGAAGCCTTAAAAASCACAGAAAAGAAACGCAGGAAAGATGAGTTCTTCAGCCTGACCCAGAGAATTTGTATTTATTGATTTACAGTGGATAAGACTTGTCTTTTTGTGAAACCAAGATAAAACTAAACATGAAATATGGATCTAACACTATCTATGAGTTCACAAAGCTTGCCTGCAAGCCATATGAACTTCCAGTGCTCCCTTAACATAAAGTTTCCAGGCATAGCCACATAAATCAATTCCAAGTTAAGTATTTCAGGAGAACCCTCAATTCTGAAGGTATGAAGAAATGGTAAGCAGGAATTAATAAAAACTCAAACTTTCATATGCTTTGGTTAGTCAGAAGCTGGCTGTTTTGCAGGGACAAGATCACCCACAGAAAACTGCGAGCCTTTGATCCTCCCGTAACCCATGTCAGAATTCATCGACAGGACCTCAGCTCCTGCTTCTGTTTTCCAGGTGAGAGCTCTTGGCCATTCAGCAAGGCTACCACAAACTGATGACATTTAACGTTCACTTCCATTAGATTACCTCTGATAATAGCAGCGATTACGAGTTGTATTTTTCTTCTCATAGACGGGGAAAAGATAATTCGTTCAAAAAGTGTTGTTTTCAAATTAGCCAATACCAAGCATTTTAGGCAACATCAGATCCCTAGATTAAAGTATACCTTCTGATCAATATACTTGCCAATTTCCAAAGGTCAGTTCAAGCGTTGCGATACTGCATATGAAATTTAAAAACCTGCCTAACACCTATTAAAGCAGCCTTTGCTTGTCCCCCAAAACACCATAACATTTTGCCAGTTACTTTGTTTATTCCTATGAAGAAAACTGAAGTTTAAACTTATACAAAATATCTTCCTACAGTTGTTCTCCTACGTTAAAAGGAAAACCTGAGGTTTAAACATTTTAGATGTTTAAGACAGATCTTTACTGGAAATTCAGAATCAGAGCACATAGCAGCTGCTAGAAAGAACACAGGCTTTTTGCTTGGCTTTTTCTTATAGATCAGTCCCATCACATAAGTGATGGTTGACTATGAACCCCTAAGTTAGGTTTAACTAAAAAAATGTTGATGAATAACATGAAAATGTGCATCTTCACTGAAGTACTGSAGCATAAAAGACCAAAGTTGCAACAAGTTATTCAGCAGCTTTTTTGATATTTTATTAATTCATTCTATACAGCTTATTTCAAGATGGGCAGTGTAAAGCCTGCAACATCCATTTAAAAATATAAACCATTAGTCTCAATAGTAGCTTCTTCAAACTTCACTTTACGTAATGTAGAAATACAGCCTATTTCATTAAAATGTTTTGTACCTAACCCTCAGAACAACAGTCAGTCTCCAGAAATAAAGGAATTTCAGACCAGAAGTTTACGATCGTGTTTGATGAGAGCCCCAGAAACTCTCATTGTGCAAACTACCCTACTGAAATTAGTTCCAATAATTCAATTGTCAGTCTCATGATTACATCAACTTTTATTCCCACAGAAGAAATTGCTCTATCCTCACTTATGTAGCTTTGATGTAAATTGTGAAGGCCCAGGAGATTCAAACAAGCACTGCCTATGAGCCTGCACACACATCCCAACACAAGCCTGACAAGTAGTTTGTGTACACAGCATATTAAAACACTAAAAATGTTGTAAATTTACAATCAAACTGCCAAAACTCATGGTCAAACAGCTTGGTTCCTGTTTACACTATCTGAATTGCTGGAAAGCCTGGAATGACAGTGCCATATCTTTACCCAKTTGTTTTCTACAGTCTCGATTTTTTGTCAGTAGTGATTTGGGGGATTGTGGCAATTTTTYTTTTTCTTTTCTTGTTTAAACACAACTTTAAATGTAAAATAGATTCTTCTTATAACAATCCAGAGGTAGCAGGAAGGATAGAAGCAAAAAGATGTCAGAGTCTACAATTTGCACTTTCAAGTATACTGTCATCCAGGAGAGCTCTGTTGGCTTTCATAGACCACGTCACCTCTAATCAAATCCAGCAAACAAAAAGGTAGTACTTTGAAACAAAAATAAATGGTGTATTAGTAAGTTTTACACCCAATTACCTCAAAGCAATCCTGTTACTGAAGCAGCAGTACTGCAAGTTGCAAGAATCAAAAAGAACTGATATATAAATCTGTGAGTATCTGTTTTTCTAAAATGCTCATTAGTGGCACATTTCACCTAAACAGACATACACATACACACAATTACTTTAAACTGATAAACCACACTGTAAGGAAAGGTCCCAATCCAGTTCAAGAACCTGATACTCTCCTGTTCCCTCCTGCTACACAACTTGACAGAAGTGCCTACACATAACAGAAAGCAAACAGAAGGGGAAAAACACAATGTTCAGCAAGTATATCTATATACATTTTGTACCTTGTACTTCCTTGCATTCAAAGTGAACAGATGACCAGATTTCCTATGCTTTACATGCGCACACTTTCCCCTTTACACAGTACCAGTTCTGTCCAAATCATCTCTAGCAGCAGCCACAGCAGTCATTCCACATTAGCCAAAAGCTGCTTCTACTGTGGAGGCTGGAGTACATTTAAATACTCTGACTGGCCCAGCAGGTAGGTTGTGTTTCCTCCACAGTCCACATACTGGTATTTCTCTTGTGATATTTGTTCAGAGTGGCCAAAGTAAGATGTTGTCACTGTAACTCTAAAAAACACAGAAGAAACATTTGTTTTGCAAGGTGCTTTGAATTTAAGCTAAAAAACTACCTTTTTTTTAGCTTTTTTTCCCCAAGACATAAGCTTCAAAACAAAGTATGCAACATCATTAAAAACGYTTCAAGTTTGTTCTTATTCTGTGCTTGTTTCTAGTTTGTTCTTATTCTGTGTTCAAGAAACTCGGCAAGCAGATGACACCAGCAGAAAAACAAGAAAGCCCAGGCAAACCACCCCCACAATACCAGTTTATGTCACCTACAGATCCTGTCCATGACAGACACTTGGCCACCTGAGCAGATTTTTCTAAAGCAGCCCAAGTTTATCCATTAACGCTTAGTTTTGCAATGGAAGTTTCCAGAAGATACAGCCAGTTTGTCCACACTGTGCTGCTGTTGTCCTCCACCCCCATCAAAAACAAACGAGAAAAGACAAAAAGAAAAAAAAAAATCCAGAGGCTGCCAGTGATTAAATCAGTCATGAAAAGGAAGCTGACAAGGGACCTGACACTCATCATGTTTTAGGAACACAAGGGTGTCAGCTATGTATAAACAGAGGCTGATAGGCACATAAAGAGAGACTCCTTTTGGAGTATCTAGAGATCCTAACGGCCTCTGTGCTGCAGCCAGACAACACATAAGACTAATGGTTTCACTTGTTCAACTTGATCAAGTTTCTTCACGGTAGCAGAACCTGACAAATGAAAAATTTCTTTACAGTTCAGTTCCAAGAACTATGAAGCTACCAAAGGAGAAAGTAGATTTCATTTTATCTAGGATACGTGGACTCTAGTATTAAATTTCCATATGTCTTTAAAATTGTATGCTTAAAAACATTAAAGTTTCCATACTTACTGCATCATCACTACTATGTTATGCACTTTGATAGATAATAAAGTACAGAACTCACTACAAAAAAAAGAAGAAAATAGCTGTTAGATTCACATTTTATGCATAATAAACAAAAAAGAACAAGTAATGTTACTTCAACTGGAAATTCTGCTGTGTATTTACATACTAGGGTTGCTAGTGATGGCAACTTGTTGAAGAGCACCTCTCGACTATACTTGTCTACATCTTTTACATACACAGTCTTATTATAACAGCAACACACACAACCTTATTGTTTGTATCGCTTGTATTTAATGGTCACCAGAAGTGTAATGTAAACTAATATTCACTCRGTCTTTCAGAAGCTATCCAAAAGATATTAGCCTGAAGAAATGTTTAAAAAAAAAAAAARCTTCCAGGTCACTTCTTTGCTGATAGTGCATTTTACTGTAAAGACAGAGCTGTATTTCACTTTGTTATTGAAATCCACTGCAAATCTAGACAGGAAGGTTTCTTACAAAAAAAAAAAAAACAGCATTACGGCAACCTCAGCATCCTTTCACATAAAAATATGTAATTTCCATCAAAAAAAATTTGAATGTTTTATTTTTGCTTCCTAAAAAATAATCAGGAACCCAGGAAAGACCCAATTTTTGCACTGATCCACTTTATTACAGCAAAGTGACTATTAACTGAAGAAAGTTCAAATTTAGAGTTACTGTTTTCTTGTACAATTTGCTTTTTAGAATCTTGTTTCTCCAAATACCACATTTTCTGACATGCAGCTACAAACTGCTTGGACATGGAACCCTACCTAAGTGTACRGAATGTGTTCATTTAAATCAATTGCTCTTGATCACAAGTTTATCAGATCCTGAAGGCACATAACCAGTGCAAGCAGAGCATGGGCCACCCCTAACACATGCAGGCCACTGCCATTGTACTTCCCACCAGCAAAACCAAAAGTACAAGGAAAAACTTAATACAGGTGACAAGGATTTATGTGAAAATACAAATGAAATGCTACTGTAGTAAGAGTTGTTTGATTTCTGTCACCACTATAGAGAAGCCCAGCAACACATTTTTATCTTTCACTGCGGGGAATCAAAATTATTTGGACTGTAGTGTGAAGTATTCCCAGCTACTATGGTTTTACCCTGAATATTGACCACCTGCACCGTAAGGTAAAATCAACTCGGTTCCAACAGCACAGCTTGGCCAGCTAGCAGAGATAGGGTACCAGCGTGCCTGTCTGCAAGTCCAGGTTATCTGAAAATAAAGCTGCTTCTATATACCACAAAACATAGCTAGAAAAGCACATGAAACAAAGGTAAACTTCTGCATAGAATGAACTCTCCAAAAATAAATGGACAGAAATGCCCTGTTCGGTGCAGGTTTAATCATACAGGTATGCTGAACCCTGATGATGCCACACAAGAGCTCTCCAACATCTCCTGTGCTTGACCTTGGTCAGTCTTTAAGGACATCTCTGCAGTATCCAAATAACTACCTGGTTATGCCTAGCACAAGGCTTAAACTGGAGAAACAATGAAACTCCTATGGTATTGTGAGCCACTATACAGCTCAGAAACTTTAGACCAAATCAGCGCCTCCCCTCTACTTAACTCCAGATATTGTATAGTAAATAGCAATGAAAGAGGAGAAAAAAACATAAAACAAAATCCCGCAAAACTCAACAACAGCCTTTATAAGAGCAGCTATGAGATAAGAGGCACTATATTCAGACTATTCAGACTAAAGAAGCTCACTGGCTATCTGCAGGGTTGTCCTGTGTTATGAAAACAGTCTTCCAAAACTTGCAATACAGTGAAATACGATGAAAAAGGGCAGGAGCCCATCAGCAAAGGTAACTGTCAACAGGTCAAGGATGTCAACTAGAACCAATGCTTAATATACAAAAAAATCTGGAAAAAAAATAAGAAACTAGAATACTAAGCAGAATTAAGAATGAAATACCAAAAATTTTCAACACATCATAGTTAATGAGTGCTTCTCTACTAGGATCTTACAGCATTTGTCTCTACAAGGAAGTAGATTTTTAATTGACACAACATCCCAGAGGAACAAGTCTCTTATTACCAGTTATCTATGCTTAGTGTCACGTTGCTAAAAGGGAAAGTCCCTTCAGATGCATACAAGTTATCATGCATTAGGCTGCTTTTCCAGCAATGCCCATGATCCCTCTTGCTTTCTTGAAGGAAGTAAAGCCCTCGTTACAAACTCCCAGGCCAGAGAGACGCCAGGTTACCTGCCTCTGCTCCAAGCACGAGCCACCTGCACGCTCAACCAGTGAGCGCATCACACAATTGCCAAGATTGCAGCTCCCAAACTGACCTGCCAAAAACCCCAGAAGCTCAGGCCATAAGCAGAGCTTTGGACTCTCTGCTTGCCTTTGCACATCCAAGTGTATGCATACAAGTTAGCAGCTAATTTAGTACTTATTTCAATTTAGTCTAGCACTTCAAAGTTGTAAAATTCTCTCCCATGCCAAAGGGAGGTGACATCCACTGGAACTGCATGCAGATCTCAAGTTTCAATAATGAACTTCAAATCTSAATTTTTAAGTTTCACTTTTCATAGCAAGAGAACTAACACTTGCTTACGTTACCACAACATACCYAGCAAGCATTCTGGGGGCCCAAACTTCCAGAAGTTATGAACAAAATAGCTTAAATAAGGAGTGGCTACAAATACTGCTTACCATAACACAGAGTTTGAAGGGAAGACATGTGAACAAACCAGTTCCCTCTACCATCAAAAAAGTTTATGGGAATGCTGCTAGGGAATTGCATTAGAGCAACACACCTGCACTCCTCCCCTGAAGGAGCTGGGGCTACCACTCAAGGAACAGTAAGCCACTGGATAACACTATTTCAGCTATTGTGGTTTACACATTTTTCAGTGCTATTAACTCCCAGCACACAAGACACCACGTGGTCTTTGTGGTTGCCTTTTCCATGTCAGCTGAAATGAAATTTCATCAGCACCACCAATATTTTTAATAAATATAGACAATATTTAGAGGTCAGCACACTTACAACATGTAGCTCATTTCATCTTGTATGACTGTGGGCACCATATAGTCAATCTAAAAGAAACAAAGAAACACCTGAGTGGATTTAGGCACACACAAGATGAGCACATACTTAACTGTGCAAGGTTATCCCTCCTTACCTGTTTCATATCCAGAGGGCCAATGTTGGTGATGTTGTTTAGGCGTGCTTTGCCAATAACTGTTTTTGAAAACTGAACTTGGGCTGTGATGTTCGCCACTTCAACTGAGTAATAATTGTTGTTTGTTATATTTAGTGTGTTCTGAAAAACCAAACAAAAACCAAAACAACAAAATAATGCTTTTAAGAAATATCCATCCAATGCATCCTGGCAAGTATATACTTTGAAAATTCRGTGTAATTCCTAAAAGTATACAAGTATATTTTTCAGCCTTCTAGAATTTTCTTTTTTTTAATTTGAGGTGAAGAGAGGGTAAAGGGAAGGAAGGAAGAAGGTCTGAGAAGGAAATAGACTAAACACATTCTATAAGTGAAAAAGATACTTGACCAGCTATCTCTTGAGATTGCAACAGCTCAGAATTTACATATTTTTGCATTTCCTACCAACAACCGTAATATTTCAGACTGCATGCGGCCCAGTATTTTGTCTTCAACAAGTGAYGGCAAGTATGTAAAAGGGCTAGAATTAAGCATGCAAAGCATGTAAAGTTGCAAATCACGTTTAGCCTCCTCCACACACCGCCAGCTTCTGTGTTATTTCTAACAGAGAAGACTCCAACCCAAGTTGGATGCAATTTGTCTGCTGCAGAGGTGCAGCTCAGACAACTGCTTCTCCAGTCTCACCTTGAATCTGTGTAAGCTTTCTGCATTAACATTCTTGCTTTGGCAAGGAGCTCTATATGTTTCTCATTCACTGCATGAAAAAGAAGTAGCTTCTGGTTCACAGTTCCGCCCCAGCAGTAACCACAGGACAGGAATAAGACCATTTTATTTACTTCGYGCCATTCAGAGCTACTGGGAGCACCAAGCACTAACCCCTCTCTCTTCCTCCCTTAAACTTACCTATTTCCTACACTGACAGGTCTACTCAATTTTCTTCATACAGAAACTGTTCTATATTTCCAAATATTGCTGTGGCCCTCCCTTTAAGCTTCCCTTACTCAGATGAAAGAAGTTAAGGAAGAGACAGAAGTCCAGGGGTTTTTACTTTGAAGCTAGTGGCCAACTATTGCATCCCCACTGCAAAGCTCAATGGTACCTCCCGCCCCACAAGGTGCTGCCATTCCCTGCCACAGGGATAGTCCCATAGCTCCAAGTGAAGTCGAGCTCAAGATGTGGACAAACACAGACTTTGAATAATCAACATAATCAAGCTCTCCCTTTTGCTATATTTTTTTGTAATAAACTCCAAGTATTAAATTATCTTTCACTGCTGCAAAGTGCAGAGCTGAGGTGTCATTCAGCTATCATAACGCAAGTACGTCAAGCATCTCAAACGCCAGCTCACGACACCCCACCGGTGCAGATCTCCAGTGCATCTCACTTTACGTTTACACTGGGTTAGAAGACAAACCGAACTGAATCCCTTGGTGACAGTGTTTCCAGAATTCTTCAGCTAGCCCTTGTCCTCAGAACTCCAAAATTAACACCTCACCACTCATCCCCTTTCATAGGCTCATTTGTGAATATGTTGAGCAGTCTAGACTTATACAATTTCACTTGGGACCCTTCTCCAACTGAGAGTAATGATCATTTCTTCATATACTCAATTGTTCTTCTCATTCCTCATTTGCCATGGTAGCTTGGTTATCTCTAAGGATGTTAATAAAGAACTCTGCCAAAAGTCTTCTAGCATTAGCTGCTTACCAAGAAGCACATGTAGAAAAAGTTTTGAAGGGGATGAAAAATGTTACAAGTTATTTTTCTGAAGCAGCAATCTATTTTAACACAATTATTTTATTCCCCAAAGAAAGCAAGAAACTCCAAATCACTTTTCCACTTGAGAAAAAAAAGAGGATGCACTAGGAACCTGTCGCTACCCCCCTATTAGGTGTACACAGAAGCAGCAGCCACATGAAACCCAGCTACATTTTTCAGCCTAGTCACTGCATCTGGCCAACAGTCTTAAGACAATTAAGCTTCATAGTCCCAACTTGCTACCTGTACACATGCCCCAAGAGATATTGCTGAAACACTGTATCCATTATAAAAATGCAAGTAGGTCTATAATCTTACCGTAATATTTAGATATATCACATGTCTACTCTGCTCATAAGTGACGTATACTGACTTTACGCCGACGTATTCGACGTCAATTGAGCGAGGAAACAAGAAGAACACAGCCAGCCCAGAAAGCAGCAAACACACAGTCACAGAGGCAGTCACGTAGAGTTTTCTGAGAGAAAAAGAGCACATTTTATAGTCAAAAATGCATTAAACAAGAACGAGTGTGTTCTTTTCTTTGTTAGTGACAACAAGCATAAGGAGTCACTGTAACTATTTCAGCCTATTCCAGCTGAACATGCAACTACCCCAACACTCCCAGCCTGTTGAGGGAAAGGCAGGGAGGGGAGAAGCGCTTTAAGCCACAAGCACTTTGAAAATTTTGTTTTCACAGACCTTTCATCATTCTGCATGATTCTTAAGCACAAACCAAAACATAAGCAGAAAGAATAAAGCTCTATTCCGTACCTCTGACAGGATTCTCTCTCATGTAATACCTTTCTCCTCCTCCCAAGAAAGCATTAACAGCTGGTTTTAATCTCTGCTAAGGAAGTGCCCAGTTGCAATTAACCTTCTCTAAGTAGAAGGGAAAGCTGTGCATGAAGACTCTACCACAGCTCTGGTTTTACTCAAAATTAGAAACATTAGGGAAATATTTTTCAAATTGGCATAATTTACCTGGATCGTTAAGTCCCATGTATAATATTTTTGTTCCCTCCCTGCCCTCCATCTGCTAGAATCTTATTTTCACATATACTAGAGCAAGAACTAAACATTTGGAGAAAAACATTTTGCCCAAACCAAGCAATGATAAGTTTCAGCAGTGTAGTAGTAACCGACAGAAGTTACTGCTTTACTCAGGCATAAACTTTGGCGATGAAGATGTACCTGATTAAGTCATGTGAGACTGAAAACTAATTCCACAATTATTGTAGATATTTAGATAAGATATGGAGAGATGATATAATATTGCTAACTTCAGAGTTCTATGAGGGGACAGGCACACACATTTAATAAAYACCAATAAAGACCAATATTTTTCATGAGCAGGGTTCTTCATATCGAGTAATTAAAGAAAAAATCACTGAAATGATTTAACAGACCCTTATTTAACAGACCCTCTTAAATTGCTATGTTTCAAGTAGAAGAGAGGAATTAAGCAGCTTCACAAGGCAGTCATTAACTTACGTTCTTCTTGGCCTCAGTCTCTGATCACTGTATGGAATTAAAGCTACAAGCTGATTTTCCTGTCCTAGAAACAAAAACACCTTTTTCAGAATGTAAACACAGCAAAAACTATTGTTGCAGTTGCTTCAAACAAGAGGCTACCAATTTAAAATATTTTCATTAAAACAATTYCATTTCAACTTCAATGAAGTACAGTCAGCCATTCACACATTCTACTTTTATAATGTATCATACTGAAAAGATAAAGCTGACCAAAGGGCAGGACAACTATACAGTTTTTCCAACACAACACATTGCAGCCCTCCCTACTAGCTATGAGATCATTCTGTGAGCACTTTTTTTACCTCCTCTTAAAAAAAAAGGAAAATAAAGAGGCAGCTCTATTTCTAAGTCATGTGAAGTACTAGCACTATAAGTACTTCATTATAACTTATGAGCAACATGCATTTTTAATAGTGCAAGAACTTAATATTAGTCATATTTGTTTAAATATCACACTTAAAAATCCTGCAATTGAAGAAATAAGCTTGTGAGGTTACTATGAGCTTTTAAAGAAATCCCAGCGCTACAATATTTTAACTATCACTATCATGAGTGAACCTTGCCRTTATTATAATAAAATATTTCAAGGTAGCAAGCAAATAGGACATAGATTTCTTTGTCTACAGTCTTTCAACCAAGATATTTAATTGCATGTTTTTTCCCCCTCAACACTGCAAAGTTTCTCAATTTGGCAGAAGCACCCAGACGACACTACAGTTTAGCAGTCTAGAGACAAAGGCTATTTTCCATGGTTGCCACTTAAAATATCCAGTGCCCCCTGCCATTTGTTCCCAGAAATGACAGAATTATTTGAGGTTGAACTGCAGACTACATCCAATCCTACTGCCACTGATGCACATACAAAGGGACAATGTGTATCTCCCTATTTCACATTTAACTGAAGAGGTTCAGCCAAAAAAACCTACAGGCTGATGGGGAAAGGASAAGCTAAAGGCAGCACCACTATCCAAAAGTTCCTTCTAAGTCAGTGCTACCCAGTGTATTAACAYGCTACAGGAAGTATCACTTCAAAGAAAAAAGTCTTTAGTAGTACATTCACTAAGCAGTATATTTAGTAGTACATACATAGAAATGCAGGTTTGTAAATAAGAGCACACAGCTTGACTTGCAGTAGTTTAATGACACTAAAATAGTGTCTGATCATTAAGAGGTTTTTTTTCCCCCTCTCCCTTTGCCCCTTTCCTCCCTTCCAACCCTCCTTGCAAAAAGCAGAATTACTGCAGAAAAGATTTGGCTAGGAAGCAGTGACCTCTGTCTACGACACAGACACCAAAACCAAGTAAAATCCTAACATAGGGAAATCAGTTAATTTTTCCAAGCTTCAGACCAATTATTATTATAGTTTATAGTATAATATAATAATATTATAGTATAGTATTATTATAGTTACAAGAAGTTAAAAGGTAATTTCATGAATGTGTGTGTTTATATATATTTTGAATATACATATATATTTTCAAAAGAGGGGAATAAAAGCAGCTTACCTCGGGGAATTCTTCCTGTTCCTTGGCAAGTAGGGCAAGTTACACTGTCTCTCCCTGTAAATTCCACATATGGGAACTGTGACACATCTCCGCAGCGCCCATCCTCACTGTGGGATTCCGAGTGAACCAAGCCGTTCCTCATGTTATCAGACCCTGCACCTCCATCGTAGCCGTCCTCCTTACACGTGTGCATAGGCAGGTGGGAAAGAGACTTTCCCATGGCTAAAACAGAAGTCAGAAGAAAGTATTGGGGGAGAAGAATTCAAACACTGTGTGTGATTACTTAGAAAAGACTCCTATGGCCTTGCAACCCTCCTGTTCAGATGCCTTAAGAATTGCAAAGCTTTAAGTCACAAAGAAATCAGAAGAAGCCTCTAACAGAACACAGCACAACTGCTGCCAAAAGGCTGCAACTCTAGAATGGTGTTTCTTTAAGAGATGATTATACCATAAAAAACTTGCAGAAAACATATTGATCTCTGCAGAAAAATGCAAGACTACTAGCTCTAGAAATCAAGTTCGCAGTTTTCACTGGATCTTACATACACTACAGATCCTCAKATGGTTTTTAGGCTAAGCTTGTTTATCCAAGCACGTATTTGTTGAGCAGCTTGTCATCCCCCAGCTGAAAATATGACATTTAAATAGATCATTTACTTCAACCCAAGAGACAGTTAATTTACAGTAAACCTGGGGGAAGGGGAGAGAGAAAGGAAGCTTGCAATATGGAACATTTCTGTTTATAAACAAAAGCAGTTTTTATTTCTATTTATTAACTCTTAATCCATGCCACTGAAACTACCTTGAAACACAGAAGCTGAAAATAACAGCAGTAACAAACAGATCCAAGCAGCAACTTTTCCAGATTTCCAGATATAGAAATCAGTATTTTGGACCAATCTAGACAGAACAGAAATGTGGCAACAGGAGAACAACACTGATTCAATATAATGSCACAAAGGTTCAGTGGACACAGGAGAGGAGAAACAAAGCACCAAATGGCTGCATCACGTTGAAACAATCACACAGCACGTTATTCTTTTCTGTAAACATTTTCATAGCCAAGTTTTGGTCAAAACACTTGTGAGAAGGAAAACTACATGTATATTTGTACTGCTACAGCTATTTTGTAACACTCCAAGTTTGGAATCCATTCAGCAGCAAGAACATGGTACAGGCCTGCTCATGGCTAGATGCATCAAGCACAACACAGCTAACAGATTCTCTAAGCAACTGATAAATATTTTTATCTGCTGGAACATAATTACATAGAGCATCTAGACAAGCAGTAATATTGTACTGTACAGGCCTTCTGAAGACAGACTAGCTGTATAGCAGCCAGCACAGCCAAGAATTGTACTTGAGACAAAATAGCAGACAAACTTTTGTGCTCACTATATCCTTTAAAAAAGTTTAAAAAGCAACAACAACAAAACCAACAAAACCRGAAACTAAGCTTCCTAAACAGCTGCTGCCAATCAGACCATGTCTATTTTCTGCTTTCTGTTATTCTCCCTGTAGCTGTAGCTCACACAGAGCTTTTAAGCTACAGACCTCAAATATTACAGCTTAGGCAACAGCTACCAGTTACAGGTTGAGCTTGAGGAGCAACCCCTGCTCCTTCAGGGCAACCGGGCACTGAGCCCACGTGCTCTGCTCATGGCACTCGGGCTACACCTACACTAACAAGTAAACATGGAAAACACAAGCACGCTGCAGAAATAAGTAACTGTGAGGAGCCAACAYCCACGCAACACGAGTTTGTGGATTTTATCTCGTACCCGCTGCTGACTGAGCAGCCGCTAGCAACTGAGGAGCACGTTGGAGCTCTGTATTTGGAGGAAACTCTGACTGTGGTTGGAATTTCCTCCAAATACAGCTCAGACACTCTCAGAACATGTCAGGATATAACCCAAAGTGCAGGGAGCCTCCAGCACCACCTGCACTGGAGCTCCAGTAATTAGAGCCTAATTATTGACCCTCTCCTGCCACCCTGACTTAGGAAATGCACATCTCTGCTTACAGACAAGGAAAAGCTGGTAGTAAGCTTGAAGAAAAATCTAAGTCAGCGCACAAAAAAAAAAAGAAAAAAAAAAAGATACATAACAACAACAAACTGCTGAGCCCTTATCACAGCCGGCCAAAGCTCAGGACACCTTGCTCTTTTATCTGCAGTTTTCACACTGACACCAACACTGCGGAGAAGGTGCCACTTGTTAACTCAACAGCCCCTATGCTGAGCTTTGATAGTCTCACACACAGCTAAGGCACAAATTTCATTTCCCCCAACTTGTCTCGAGCACCCTGGAGCTCGAGGCCTCTCAGAGAGAGCTTGGTACACAGAAACATGCTGGGAAAAGGCCCCTCTGAAGCTGCTGCAGTGTTTTGGGGCGATAAGGAGGCTGCAACAGCAACGTGCCCGAGCACGGCCACATCCCGTCTGTGAAAATCACCTTCCGTCTGCAAAGTCAGCGAAATTTCACAGAGTTAAAATAAACTGCTGCAACTTCTTCAGAGGAAATGCCAGTGTGGCACTCTGACTACTTAAAAGCATGTATAAAGTTGGGTTTCGAAGGATATTTCCCCTTTAAATTAGCACGAGAAGTTTTTTATTAKGGCTGGTGTTTCCCGGCGCGACCGTCACCTGCTCTCCCGGCTGCGCATTAGCCACCGCGCCGCAAGTCACCGCAAGCCGCTCGGGAGCGGAGGCGGCCCCTGCCCCCTCTCCCGGCACCCCGCCCGGGACATCCCTAAAACCGAGGAAAACGCGGATTGGGGGATTTCCTTTCCCAACAAAAAAATCCCGGCCTGCAGGGCCCCGGCCGCCGTGCCGAGAACATGGCGAGGCGCCGCCGCGCACGCAGGGCCGCCC